GACACTGAATTCCACTATGGCAATTTTCTTACTGAAATCAACTTCAACTCTATATAGGAAAACCAGTCTGTTTTGCCTTTTTGAAGATTACAGAGAGTAGCAAGAACCTGCTTGTATAAAGAAATAGCACACTATTTCTCTTGAAGAAGTACTTCCATTTGTCATAGAAAAACGGCTTTCAAATCACTTCTGTTCTCCAGTCCAAGACAGATTATCTGAACTGAGTGGCAACAACTGCTGACAAGTTTATATAGTTTATATATTCTGTGACATAATACACTAATAATCACCCATGAAAGTTTTCAAGTTGTCATCTATCTAATGCTATACAGAAATACAACTAGGAGCAATTTCCAAGAAAGATTTGCAGCTGGCATATTCTGAACAGCTGATCTAAAGTTCAGAAGATTTGTTCCAGTAGATTACTAACCCCACTTTATTTCTGCATCTTTTGGATGTAAGTCTACTTTTTTTCAGGGAAAGACATATGGATATCCTCACATCAAGTCTCAATTAAGTTTCATTGTGGATACAGACCTCCATTCCAGCAGAACTGTGTTCAAACCTTTTTATGTTGAAAATTACAACACAGGTACTCAAAAGACATTTTTAGTCACCAAAGAACTGAATGGAACTCAAAGTATGACCACTGCATACTTTGGGGTGTTCAGAATTAAAGCATTGCTTGTAAAAGTTCATCATTAAAATGATTTAATGGCAAACCTAGATTGCTGATAAGCCATTCTGCAATGGTCTGCTATGAAAAAATATTACTGAGAATTAAATCATAATCCAAGCTGATGCTGGCTTGAATCCAAATTTTATTCCTGCCAATGGACATGTTCATTCAGGACATGTTCCCAATAGCATGTTTGAAAACAGAAATGAATTTCTTCCACACCAGAGCTGTAGCCCCTGAAAGTTGGAGGACTTTTTAGCATAATGTGGGAAATGATATTTGGAGCTACAAAGAGACTGGATAATTGACAACAGTTGTTTCTTCCCTTCTGTTAAAACCATCTATTAGAACAAAAGCTTTTGGTGACAGAGAAAGCCCTTTCATTTATGGAAGGAGAAATATGGAGTAAACATTTCACTATTTTATAGGAAAAAAATCTTATACATTATTTTGACAATCCACAGTTCCTACAAAAATTATTTGCAGAAAAGCTGCCTCAATTACCGAAACACAATAAGAACGATATAACAACAAGGTAGATGCATGTGTTATCCAAGTACATATACACATTCTCCTTGTCATTGTGTCACAATGCATACAGTACAGGACTTCCTGCATTCTGCTCAAGGCCTTCTGAGATACTGTCTCAGATTGTGCTGTCTTAAAGACCTTCATACAAGAAGAATGTAAATGTGAGATCTACAAGTCCTAAGGTGGAAGCTAATAGCTTGAAGAAGTATGCCTGAATGTCAATGGGAATCAACTTACTGGCTTATTTTTAGTACTCTGTGTGGGAGTAGAGAAAGACCAAACAGATATTTTGTTTATTATTGCTTACATCTTCCAGTTATGAACATTCCCCTCTTGTTATTTTTAAATGGCTGAAGTGTAGGAATAAGGATGGGCTCAACATACAGAGGATGGATTTCACCTGAATTGAAGTAGTATCTGATGTTTTTAACATGGGTCCATCTGCTTTATTTTCAGTTTGGCACTAAAGATCAGTTGGTACAATAGAATAGTGTTGTGGAGTTTGTTTAGATTAAACTATTGATTGTGGCTGTACGACAGACAAGGCAAACTCTTAGCAAATCTTCCATAATTTCTAATAAAATCCAGGTACTTAATTTGCAACTTGTATACTGCTTACCCTCAAATGAATTTTGCCTTATTTTGTAAAAATATCAGTTGTGATCGCTTTTTGTATAGCAATAGCTAAAATTATTTGCAGCACATTACTTTTTATTTAAGACGTTACAACTTATTGATGTTCAGTTAGTGGGATACAGTCTGGTTGGAAGTATGTTGTATATTTCTGTGGACTTTAGTGGACAAAGTACTGAGACAAATTGCTTTACTTTGGATGGAATTATGTAGGATAATATAACTTCAATATTATAATATATGCCCTCAGTTCTCTTTTTACATTGTGGTATTTTCTAAATGTCAGAACATTGGCCTAAGCCAGGCATGTCAAACTCGCGACGTCATGTGACGTCGCGCGATGTATTGCGACTTTTCCCCCATTGCCGGCAATGGGGTGGGCACGGTTTCAGAGTGACGCATCCAGCCCGTGGGCCAGCAGTTTGACATGCCTGGCCTAAGGAATAAAATTTTGAGTTCAGAATCCTTCCAGTTTACAACTTAAACAGCTTCACTTTGAAATAATTATTCCATTGCAATAAATAGCAACAAAATATTTTACATTTCATCAGGACCCCATGGCAATCACAAGATGTATATGGCACTCTTCTATGAAGAGAAAACTCTAATTCACTAATGTGGTTTTTTTTCATTAACTCTTAAAGATTACTGATGTTTTTTTAGGCAAGTATCAATTCTTTCAGAAGGTGGAGGCAGAAATAGGGATTCTGATTTTTGAATACACAAAAAAAGTGTCTTATAGACAATGCAGAGGTTGAACTTGCTTTCAAACCTTTGTTAGCTCAAGCCTGATTTGGCACACATTATTTTAAAAATCTATTTGTATCAGTTTTCAGTGGATACCACATATACTTCCTAAAATATAATTCAATGATAGCTAATTTCCAATTCTGTTTCAGTTTATTGCCACTGTCTGTTCTCAATTCATCTTAATCGCTAAACCTTAAAACATCATCAGTAGCATCACTACTTCCATTACTATAAAGCTATATTTATTTAAAACGAAGCCGCTAAGATCAAAAGAACTGCCTTCCTAATACTATTCTTGGGAGGGCATCCTAGTATTTTTGTCTGACTGTAGCTTCCACATTTTTAAGGGAAATTTTATAAGTTGCAGAATCTGGATTCTTGACAAGATCATGCAAGTGTCATTTGGAACCTAATCTACAAGTCTTAAAATAATCTCAAGATTATGGCTGTCTATTCTGGTATTTTTTTGGGGTGGTGGTGGTGGTATGGGATATTGGCCTTATTATAAACTCTACTACCATGCAGTGGTAGTCCATTTACAGGACTACCACTGCAAACACAAGTATGGCCATAACAAAGTTGCTTCTCTATCATTTACTCAAGTCAGGTTATGAACACAAATGAAAGCCCTTTCAAAACTTATCCCTTCTTGGCATATCTGTGTATCTCATTGGTTACAATCTCTCTGAAACCGAATTGCCCATTGTTTCCTCTCTCTCAGCTATACAGTAAATTCAGAGTCTTTTCCTGGAGTCTTAATCATACACACTCACTACTTGCTTTGCCCTCAAAATTATTGCGTAATGTTAATACATGTAAAGACAACGAAAGGACAAACATGTTCAATAAACAGAGAAGTAGGGGAAGGGGGCTGAATGTGCAGACAAGGCAATATAATTCAACCATCCAAGCCCTACCCGAGCATGAAGTTTTATTTTTTAATATTGCAGAATAAGTTCCCCAACAGTCAGTATTTGTCCCTGAAAAAGGTTAAACCTTAAAACACCTGCTTCCCAAACAAAATAAAAAACAAACAAACCAAAAAACCAAAAACCAAAACTAAGCCTATTGGCTTAAAAATTAGAGGCATAGCCTTTTCTCTATTTTTCTCTATTTATATGAAAATAATTCATGCTTCATGCTAAATACATTATTTACCTTACAAGAACTTTTGTTATCTTTGAATTAAAAAGGGGGGTTTTATTTTGTACTCCTGAGCCCCTCCCAGAAATGTATCCATGCAATTTGAATAAGGATCAGTGAATCTGGCTACAGTGGTTATAACTGGAAATATATTGTTATTTTTGCACAAATGAATCCTGGCTATTTAACAGGTACAGCGTTTTGAGGAGCACTGTACAGAGTTTTAGTTAAGATTAAGATTTCTTGTCCAACCAAATATATTTGTTTTTTTTAAATGTAATATAATACTAATGACAGGTTTTGTAGCATATGTATTTTGCTCTTCTCATGAGATCAATATTTTATCCTATCAAAAAGGTTTCCTCATTTTGATCCTTTTTAAATATCTACTCATATTTTTATTTTAGATTTGATTGCTTTTCACTCAGGCAGTTAAGAACTCATAGCTTGTTTTCCCATAATATTTTTGCAGGCAGTGCCAATCTTCAGGCTTATGGCTTTTTTTAAAAACATTCTTTTAATTTAAATATAGAAGACAATTAGTTGATTAAAGAATATCACTAATCCCCCCAACCCCCTCCACCCTTTTCTCCTTATATTATTGAAACTCATTGCATACACAGTTCAGTTTCCATAATTTAAAAAGTATTAAGTCTTCACATTATGAGCCATATACAGTACATGAAGCTTAGGTAATTCATTACTGTATGAGCAGCTGTTTTTAGTGGATATTCCAAGATTTCTATGGCACAAATGCAAGCAAATGCCACTATCTTATTCTTGATTCTGAAGATGGGCCTCTGACTTCCCTCAAATTTATGGAATATACATACATGCACACATACATACATTCATTCATACATACATTCTCTCTCATTTAATTATAAGGCTTTTAAATTATTTTTCTAAGAGCCTGGCCTGGATCTACCATATTATTCAATTTCTCATTATATATTTTCAAGTGCCAATTTTTATTCCTCTCACATTAACTGGTGGTATCACAGCGTAGTCAACCATGCATTTCTGACAGAACTGGAGAAAGCAATGGCAATTTTGGCTTTCACTTATTTTTGTCTTCATGTAATGAAAAGCTTTTGTAAAATTAGATGAGTATCAGTATGAGTTCTATGGCTTCAATCTCCTTTAAAAAAAATACAACACAAATATTTTGGGTTCAAAAAAGGAGGGGAAAGAAAAAAAAGAAAAAAATGGGGAAAGAAAAAAACAACTGAAGAAAATATTTTCTGATATTGCCACAAATCATTAGAATTCACCTGACGTGCTGAAACAAAATCGTTTTATAAGTTCAGTCAATGGATTTGTTCTCATTTTTCGTCATGTCCTTTTGCTCTTTCTGTCCCTTTGCCGTCCGATTGGTGATGTTGTTCAAACAAGATCGAATTCCTGCCAAATGCAGGAGTGATCCAGCAGCTTCTTTCATCTCCTCATCATCACTCTCCGGTGGTTTCTCTGTGCGTCTCTTTTTAAGAGGCAGTGTGTCACTCGGTACTTTTTTCGCCTTCAATAAATGCTGACGTTTCTTGTGCTGAGAGGGGACCCCGCTATCAGCTACAGAATCCTTGGTCTCTTTTCGGTTTTGCCGTTTGCTCTCATCCTCTGCCTCACTATGGCTCTCGTGGCTATGGAAATTGACCTCGCTGCCCTCACTACTGTCCCGGTTGCCTTTTGAGACAAATTCATAATGATCATCAGCAGAAGAAGAGGAAACAGAATCACTAGTGGGTGATGTGCTCCTATGGTTGGAAGATTTGGCACTGCTATAGTTATGATCCTCCTTTGGGTCACCACTCACCAATGGAGAACCACACGACTGCTCGCTATCTGTCCTCATTCGGCAATTTGCTATTCCATTCCTGGAAAAGAAGGAGAAAAAAAAGAAAAGAAAAGCATAGTCAAACTCCTTTGAAAAGCTGTATTTTTTTGTGACAACAAGCAAATATGCAAATAAGTCAGACATCAAAATGCTGGAAGGAGATGGGTAAACTAGGCACTTTCCTTAGTATTTGCTGGGAATCTTAAAACTTTAAGGAGAGGAGAGTCATTAACTCTGCCAGCAGCAGTGAGCTATTCATTCTGGATGGCCTGCTGAGGGCAAAATAGTTAATTATTATCATTAGGAGCATAAAATTTAATCTGCTTTTCAAAAAAGTCAGATCATTTGAAGGTTTATAGGTTTAACTAAGCAGACTAAAGTAGAACAAAGTCATATTTAAATTCATCTTGATTCTTATGTATAATGAAGTAATGAATGGAGATAAAGAATAATCTTATGAACCTGTTTGGTTGTTAGGATATAAAGGAGAAGTTCATTTTTTAATTTATTTATTCAGCTACCTATCTTAGATACATGATTCCAGGCATCTAATGATACTTAAAAACAAGATTAAAAACCATATAATAAAATTATAAATAACATAAATAGCAGTTGAGAAAATTCAACCAACAACAATTAAACATGATATCAACTTAGCCACACATCGGGGATCCCAGATTCAATGACAAAACCAGGTTTTCATGGTCTTATGAAAGGCAGTAGAGCTGGGTCAAGTTCTTAAACACCAGGGGAATGTTGTTCCACAGGGCAGTTGCCATGATACAAAACTTTCTTTTAATGGGTCCCACCAAATGACACCCCCTAATAGATCAGCACTAGAGCATATCTCTACTACTGGATCTAACAGGATGGGAAGATACGAGAGAGAGTTAGCCACTCAAGTCCCAAGCCATGAAGGGCTTTAAAGATAACTACAGCACAGTGTACTGAACCTGAAAGAACAGTGACAACCAGTGCAGCTCACAAAACAGAGGTGTCAGATGTGCTGAAGGACTAGCACCCATAATTGCCCATGGCAATGCATTTGTACCAGTTGAAGCTTCCAAATAGTTTATAAGCAATCCCGTATAGAGCGCTTTGCAGTTGTTCATCTCAAGATGCTGCCTGTGTCAGGCCTGTTTTTTCAACATGCAGAGAGACTATGGAACAATTTGAATCCTCTCAATGATTACAAATTATTAAATGAATTTTGTTTATTTAGTGTCATTTGTTGGTTTTGGATTGTTCCTGCATTATATTTTTTGCAGAATAAATATACTACTTTATATTTATTTGCAGAATAAGATGAGTAAGATATGTAGTAGTAGTAGTAGTAGTAGTAGTAGTAGTAGTAATAATAATAATAATAATAATAATAATAATAATAATAATAATAATAATGTTGGAAGAGACCTTGGAGGTCATCTAGTCCAGCTCCCTGCTCAGGCAGCAAACCATTTTCAGACAAATGGCTGCCCAGTCTCTTCTTAAAAACTTCCAGTGTTGGAGCATTCACAACTTCTGGAGCCAGGTTGTTCCACTGATTAATTGTTCTAAGTGTCAGGAAATTTCTCCTTAGTTCTAGGTTGCTTCCCTCTTTGATTAGTTTCCATCCATTGCTTCTTGTCCTGCCTTCAGGTGCTTTGGAGAATAGCTTGACTCCCTCTTCTTTGTGGCAGCCCCTGAGATATTGGAACACTGCTATCATGTCACTCATCGTTCTCTTCATTAAACTAGACATTCCCAATTTCAGCAACTGTTCCTTATATGTTTTAGCCTCCAGTCCCCTAATCATCTTTGTTGCTCTTCTCTGCACTCTTTCAAGAGTGTAAATAAAATAAATAAATTAACTTTATCTTTTAATCACAATAATTTGGGGGCTATTGGTTATTGTGTTCAAATTTTCACACTTAATGGTCTTGAAAAACATCACTACAATGAAGTTTTGATAACATGCAAATTTACTTCCACTCAGTTGAAAAATGGAATAGTAATGATTTCTGGGAAGCCTTAGGTTCAGATTGGTAAGTTGCCTGTTCAAATAACTCAAAATCCTTATAAACATCTTTAAAATAATCTTCCTTTTAAAACTGCTAACTAATTAAGGAATTTCTTATTAGCAATCTGGTGTTAATTCTCCACCACTGTTCCTTAATTAACTTACAGCTATATACAAAGGTCTCACTCTTGCTTATTACAGTATTTTAAGGCATGTTAGGCAAAGAATATCTGCTGAAATTCTGATATTTTAAACCCATTTATTTTATTATTTAGATTTATTTGCTTGTCTAAGCAAAATTCATTTGAATGTGGGCTGAGGTCAAAAAACCACACATTAGCCCTAAGAGCAATTTAAGTGCACAGAAAGTTCACTCACAATCAAAAACAATTACATGCAATCATGTACATTGTGTTAACTAAAAAAGTCTGAATCTATTTAAGAAAATTTATATGGCCCACAACTCACTCTCAGTGACTCCAGGTGGCTTACAAAGATAAAAACCCAATATAAAAACAGTAACAAGCAATAACCCTCCATCCCCCTGGCAATAACAAATCAATCAATCATATAAGCCACCTGATGGGCTCCATGCCATTCTGGGGTCCCCAGGCCCATTGGCAAAACCAGTTCTTCAGGGCAGTGCAAAAGAGTATCAAAGTGGGGCCCAATCTTATCTCCACCATGATACAGAAAGTGAGCCACCACAGAGAAGACCTTTCTTCTTGGTCCCGCTAGATGAACCTCTTTCGGAGAGGGAACCCGTAGTATTCCCTGCCTCCCCATTCCGGTGGGTTAAGCAGATGTGACTGTGAAAATATGATCCTTTAAATAATCTGGTCCCAAGCCATGTAGGGCTTTAAAGTTGACAATCAGTGTCTTTAATTGGACCTGGAAGCAAATCAGAAGCCAATGCATCTCCCACAGAAGAGATGACACATGGGCACATCTAGGCCTGCACAAAACCATGCGGGCCACTGCATTTTGAATCAATTGAACCTTCTGGACACCTTTCAAGGGCAGCCCCATGCAGAGCACATTGAATAATTGCATGGGACTTATTTTGTATGTCAGAGAAAGACAAGTAATGGTTTTGTGTGCTGCTTGCATTCCGCAGATGGAGTTTGCTTGTTTGTGCAGACCGGTTGCTGGCATGCTGCAGCCTGGTACCGGTCCACAGACCAGAGGTTGGGGACCCCTGCTCTAGGTGACTTACAATGTTAAAAAGAATCAAACAATACAAAAATATGTACAGAATAATAATAAAACACTATAAAATATAAATTATCAGGTGTAACTAAAAGATGGAAAGGGAGGGAATAGGATGAGCAGGAAGGGAGGTGGGTTCTGTTATTACTTTATCAACCTCATCCAGCACGACTCTCCTATTGGAGCCCTAGGCCAAATGGCAGAGCCAGGTTTTCAAGTTCTTGTGAAAGGTGAGAGGGTGGGAGCTGAGTCACACCTGGGGGCAAGATCTTCCAAAGGACAGGAAGTTTTGCCTAATTCTTTAAACCTATATGAAAAGCTGGAAATTCTATGCAAAATTTGTTAAAGCACAACTCCTCAAATTTCATTATTGACGATACAGGTATTAATGATAATAGCATCTCTAGATAAAACTGTTTTTCCACCACTGAATACATTATTGTACAAAATAAACAAAATGCAGAATAATTCATTTTGGGAATTTCATTTTAATTCAGAAGAAAGTTACTGTAACACATGGGGGAAAATAATATTCTTGTTATGCCATTTTAATAACATGATTCCTGTGATTTACAGGTGTCCTTAGATCTGCCACACTTGATTCTCAATGCTGAGTAGATTATATACTGTAGTAATCACTGAAGAGCTAAAAATACAAGGTATTTCAATACTTCATTGAAGGGGAGTTACTTTAAGCTTTATTATTATGGTGAGTGTTACTTAAGGCTGCAGTTGGGTACTTCACAGATGCATCTATCCTATATCAGCTATTGCTATAAGCTTTAGGGCAAGGCTGGATAAACATTAGACTAGCTGTTTCAACCCTGTTATTTTCTATCATTCTAAATCTAGTACAGTTGTACACATAGAATTAACAATCTAGAAAACCAAGCATTTGTTCCAGTATAGTTGTATTAAGCCCAAGGACCAGGATTGTATATAGTTTTGCAGCACTTTAGACAGAGCCTTCAGAGGTCACCCAAAAGTTGCAAGGAACCTCTGATTTTTAGTATGAGAGAAAGCAAAATTATTAGATGTATATTTAATTTCAATTACTAAATTCATTTCTAGTTAATTTCACTTAAATCCTATACTATTCAATCTTTGAGTCAAGCCTCTGGCATACCACGAAAAGGCCAAATAACTTTGCAGCCAGAAAATATAGAACAGCAGTGTTCAAAGTGCTTAATAACAATACTGTATTCTCCAGACAGAACCCTCTCTATATCTCCCATCTTACTGGTTTAATGTTGTTGTAGAACAATTGCTAGCTTCCCACAAGTCAATGGGGAAGCCAGTAGAAAATTAGAAGCCGCAGCTCATTAGGCAAGTAAGTGGGGGAGCAAGGGAAATGCTGTGCAGGTGAGAGAGGGTACACAAGAGGCATCATATGGATCAGAGGGAGTGCGAGGGGTGCCATATTGACTGTGGATGGTGCATAAGAGGCACTACATGCCTGATGCAAGGAAGTGCACACAGGGACTGTGCAGGTTGTGATGTGTAGGGTGCATAAGAGACACCATGTGGGCAGGGAGCACAACATGGGTCAGGGAGATTGTGCACAAGCATGGCACAGCAAGGGTTGGGACAATATATGGAGTTTTGCAGATGTTAGGTATCTCTGAAACAATGACCCTGTTAACAAATAATAGATTGTCTAGTATTATAATAATTGGCCATTGGAGAAAAAAACACAGCTTCTTCGAATATTGTTCTATTTAGAGTCCTAGTGCAATTTGAGAACAAGCTCCTGCTCAATTACAAATGGCTAAACTCTAAAATCTTATGAAAAGTTTCTCTAAATCTCCTGGTTTAAAGGAAACTTAGCATCT